GTGAGATCAGAAGAAGATATGCAAATTCCCACAGAATATGCATATCTTCTTTCGAATCTTCCCTGTAGTCCAGACATAGCCTAAGATTTTCCATCTGGGAGCGGAGCAAGTTTTGCCTTGTACACCAATATTGAGGTCATGTGCACTTGTGCGGATGTGTGTCACCATGTTGTGATTGCTGCACCCAGCCCCAGCTCCAATTCCAGCACATGGGGCAGCCACCCACCACACAGCCCTGCCCCCAGGACCAGCTGGGGCCACGGCTTCATGGCACCTGCTGTAGCTTAGGACCGTGGTACTGAAAATAGCACCATGGCCCCAGGTTGAGTCTCAGCACACAAATAATACCTAACGGGATTTGCCAAAGAGCCTGAGTGATGGCGGTCACTAACTCCCACTGCAAGTCAATGGAAATGAAGCATCTGTTCATTCTATTTGTGAAATCCAGCCGGGCCAGATTTTCAGAGGTTTTCAGACTGATGCTGAGTGAGGGTCACAGAAGGGAAGTGCAACTAACATGTAAATCATTTCTGAAAATCTTGCCAGGCAGCTCTCTGCATCCTGGTGGCTAGACACCTCTAAAAATCTGGCGCTGAGGGACTTGTCAGCAGTCACACAGGGAGGCTGAGATGGTTCAGGGAACCGAATACAACCATGTGAACCCCAAGCTAGAGCCTTCAGCTCCCCTTTCCCAAATATTCACTGGCTGGCGGCAAAGGCGGGGCAAGGGCAGGGATTCATTATTTGCACTGGAAACCAAAACAGAAGTGAATAGCTCAACTGCTAGTGAGTCTGTTCTCTGGATCGCCACAAGGTGCTATTTACACAGGGCACACTGAGTGGAACATTACACAGCACAGTGTGTTTGTCTCCAGCTCAGCACATCCCATACCTACCCATCCTCCTCCGTCGCCATACACATCCAGCTGTATCTGCCTTCTCTTCTGTTTCTTCGCTCTTTTCCTTACCTTTCGGTAGGTGTCTGTTCCACTGGCCCAGAAGGCCTTTGGCTGCAAACAGGCGACGTTGCTCAGCAATGAAAGGGTTAAAGCCCCACGGCAGATTTGTGCTTTGTTCCCCTGGAGGTCCCTTGTCCTTTCTGTGCCCAGCGATGAATTGTTTGTGTCACTGCTGCCCCCATGTGGCAGCTGTGGATTCTGCAACCCAGGTTTCTGCGTGAGCATCAGTAGGTTTCGTGTCACGAGGAAAGGTCCTTTCGTGGATTGATAACTGGTTAAAAGACAGGAAACAAAGAGTAGGAGTAAATGGTAAGTTTTCGGAGTGGAGAGAGGTAACTAGTGGGGTCCCCCAAGGGTCTGTCCTGAGACCCATCCTGTTCAACTTATTTATAACTGATCTAGCGAAAGGGGTAACCAGTGAGGCTACATCTACATTGCAAGGTTTTTGTGCAAAAATGGCCGTTTTTGCACAAAAACCTGCAGAGCGTCCGCACCTCAAATGCACTTCTGCTGTTTTACTGCTGATTTACTTGTACTAAACAGAGGGCTTTTGCCAGTGTAGGTAAACCTCCTTTTATGAGGCATAACTCCCTTTTGTGCTACAGCTATTGCACAAAAAGGCAAGTGTGGATGCTCCAGAGGGGTTTCTTGTGCAAAAAACACTTATGGGAAAAAGCACAGGTGCTCTGATGGCCATGTTGTGAATGGCCTTCAGAGCTTTCTTGTGCAAGAGCTTCCATGCAGTATGGACGCTCTCTTGAGCAAAAGCACATCACGTTTGCTATGTGCTTTGAGGTATGGACATGCTTTTGGGCAAAAAGTTTTTGTGCTAAAACTCTTGCACAAAAGGCTTATTATGCAAGAAGCCTGCAGTGTAGATGTAGCCTGAGGTGGCAAAATTTGCAGATGATACCAAACTGCTCAATATAGTTAAGACCAAAGCAGACTGTGAAGAGTTTCAAAAAGATCTCACCAAACTAAGTGATTGGGCGACAAAATGGCAAATGAAATGTAATGTTAATAAATGAAAAGTAATGCACATTGAAAAAAATAATCCCAACTATCCATACAATATAATGGGCACTAATTTAGCTACAACTACTCAAAAGAGAAATCTTGGAATCATTGTGGATAGTTCTCTGAAAACATCCACTCAGTGTGCAGCTGCAGTCAAAAAAGCAAATAGAATGCTAGGAGTCATTAAAAAAGGGCTAGAGAATAAGACAGAGAATATCTTATAAAACCATGGTATGCCCACATCTTGAATACTGCGCACAAATGTGGTTGCCTCATTTCAAAAAAAGATATATTGGCATTGAGAAAGGTTCAGAAAAGGGCAACAAAAATTATTAGGGTTTTGGAACGGGTCCCATATGAAGAGAGATTAAAAAGACTTGGACTTTTCAGCTTAGAAAAGAGGAGACTAAGAGGGGATATGATAGAGGTCTATAAAATCATGACTGGTATGGAAAAAGTGAATAAGGACGTTATTTACTTGTTCCCATGATATAAGAAGTGTGGGGGGGGGAGTCACCAAATGAAATTAATAGGCAGCAGGTTTAAAACAAACAAAAATAGGTTTTGGTTTTTTTTACTCAGTGCATAGTCAACCTGTGGAACTCCTTGCAAGAGGATGAGGGAAGGCTAGATCTTTAACAGGATTCAAAAAAGAGGTATAAAGATTCATGGAGGTTAGGTCCATGAATGGCTATTAGCCAGGTTGGGTAGGAATGGTGTCCCTAGCCTCCGTTTCTCTGGAAGTGGGAGACAGGGGAGGGATCACATGCGGTTTGCCTGTTGTGATCCTTTCCTCTGGGGTATCTGGTGTTGGCCACTGTCAGCAAACAGGATACGGGGCTAGATGGACCTTTGGTCAGACCTAGTATGGCCGTTCTTATGTTCTTATGTGTATCTAACACAGTAATAGCAGGTGGTGTCCTCGGGCTTCTGGCTGGTCACTTGCAGATACAGCAGGTTGTAGGAGTTATCCCTGAAGATGGTGAATCTGCCTTTCACAGCATCAAGGTAGTATGAAGTACCCCCACTGCTGTTGATATGAGTGACCCATTCCAGCCCCTTCCCAGGAGCCTGTCAGACGCAGCCCATTTTGAAGTTGCTGAAGGTGAAGCTGGAGCCTTTGCAGGAGAGACGGAGAGAGTCTCCGGGACTCAAGCCAGGGCCATGGTGCTATTTTAAGTACCACGGTTCCAGCTCCATCAGCTGCCACACAGCCATTGCCCCAGTTGCTCCTGGGGGCAGGGCTGCATGACGGGTGGCTGCCCAGTGTGCCCTGGAGCCAGGGCCACGGTGCTATTTTTGTACCGCAGCTCAGGCTCCAGCGGCCACTGTGCAGACCATATCCCAGCTGCTCTTGGGACATGGCAGTCACCTCCCCCATGCCCTCACCCCCAGGAGCAGCTGGGACTGCAGCTGCACAGCTCTGCTGAGGGGGTGAGTGGAACTGAAATTCTTGGTGAGTGCGCAGGCTCACACCTCACAAGGAATCCTGGTGTGCACTGTGTCACTACAGAGGCACAGTTGCAGCCTGTAACATCCATAGTATAGGTGCTTTTTGTACTAATGGAAGGGGTTTTTCTGTCTCTGTTGATCACCCACCTTCCTGAGCATCAGTGTCAAGGCTGATGGAAGAATTCTTGCAATGACCTAGCTGATCTATACTGGGGGTTAGATTGGTTTAACTACAGCACACAGGAGTAATCGGGTTTTTTTTTTAGACCCACGAGCCACACAGCTAGGCTAGACTAAATTTAAACCAGGTCTTAGTATATTAAGTACCATGCTTATGACAGATTCAGGAAACTTTATATTGAGGACAAGTAAATGTGACAATTTCTAGAACCTCCATTACCTAATGGATTAGATTACAAATTCTAGAAGAGTTCTAGACTTGTTCTTGCATCCTAGTTATAAAGAGAACTGGTCATGGACAATGAGATTTGCTGAGTAGTACTAAGCCACTCCGCACTGGACAGGGAAAGATGGAAGGAAATAGTAAGGGAGGCATTGGACACCAACGAGCGTTGAGTCCATTGTTGTTGTTGATGATGATGACTGTGGTTCTCTTTCATTTACTGATTTTATCTGGCTGACATTACAGATATGGAGTTCAGACATGTTTTCAGAGCAAATTAACATGGTCATCCTACCTCCTATCCTTATTTATTGTATTATTTTTTTAAAATGTCCTGTTAGGGTCCAAGTGTCAGTAACATTATTCCAGATTGGTAAGTCTAACACATTCACCCATGAAAGCTGCTGCTCTTCTTTGGAAAGAGCAGGGGAAACTGGTGTAAGTAATGCTGCTTCCAGTGTTAGTTTTAACTTGAAAAATTATGATTGAAGCATCAAACAGGAGGGAGAAGATTTACAACCATTACCTCAGTTTGACCTTGTCACCAAAAGCTGGATGGGAATGTGTAGGCTACTATGGTTGATTCACAGAACCCTAATTTACAGGTAAGCTTGCTTACACTATGCTCTTCAGAAAAAATAGTGTTTCAGGTGAATATAGATTGTTGTTACTGAAGACCCTTGCCTCTCACTTACTTGATCGAGAATCAATGGCTGGCTTTCTTTTTGCATCTTTGAATTAGCAAAACCTTTTATTTTTGCCAAATTCTCTTAACTTTTGCTTAGTTTCCCTTTAGATTTATCACCCATGCTGCTGTCTGAGCTTTCTAGCTTCCATCCCACAAGGTTAATTAGCTGTGTCAATTCACCAACTGAGATGCATATTTGACACATTCCAGGAAAGATTATACTGTTGCTATGGTGGCTTTTTGCTGAGAGGTTTCTGACACTTTGGTATTTGTTGAATGCCATTGTTTCATTGCTTAGCTTTAAAAGCTGAAGAAAAAATGGGCTTTACCTATTTTATTGCTTTTTTCAGAAGTATGTTAGGAAATTTTTGATCATCTATGTATTGCTGTATAGTCCTTTTACATTTGAGAAAGTTTGGATTGGTATGTTAAAGACTAACAATGGAAATTGTTCTTAAGCTTCTGACTGATTGAGCCCTGCAAATCTGTGGATATCTGCCTTATCTAGGTTTGCGGATTTGTATTGGATGCTCCTTCTGTGATTCTTCATTTGATTTGGAAGCTGTTGCAGCACAAATCATCTTGTTGTTATCTGCCTTTATGCTTGGCAGACTTAGTGGTGATTAAAATATGCTATTTTTAATCATAAAAACACTTTACGAACATTTTAACTAATTAGTCAAATCTCCAGGCTTTCCGTGAGCAAGATATGTGAGTATTGCCACATTTTACAGATGGGGAAACTTGAGGAAGAATGTGTTACATGCTTGAGACCATGGAAAAGGGGATGTGTTGTGATTTGAACAGGGGACTCCGTGCATTTTAGATATGGCTATCTCTAGGGCTTGATCCTTGGTGATGCATACAGAAGTAATCAATTATTTTTTTTGTCAAAGTCCAAATTTCTTGGTTGAGGTATAGTCAGGGTTCAGACTCCAGAGGAAAATAATACAAAAATGATGGGGATGATATCGTTATCAAGTAAGTAAAAAGATTTCACAGTCCGTTCAAAAGCTTCTGCCAGTCTGGATTGGACCCACACTGCGCTTAATGACCACCCTGATCTGTACTGTTGAAATAGACCTCTTTCTTGAAGATGACACCTTAAAAAGCTGTTTTGAATCATGAAACCATTGGTGCTTATTTTTTTTTAAATCTTGCTTTGAACTGGGAAATTTATGTTTTGAGATACTGTCAGCTTGTGTTGCAGTGTGATAATCAATAAGAAGACAGTATTTAATTTTGATTGCTGAAAATTCACCAGACACAGTCCAGCAATGTCTCTGTGTTGTTTGTCAGTGTTAGAGGACTGGAGTAATAATTGTATCATAAGCTGCATCATTTCCGGAAAGAAATGTCTTGTATGGTGTCAAAGTCCGAGGAGAGAACTTCCAGGACTTAAGAGAGTGTTCTGTCTTCAGGGCTAACAAATTTCCCTCTGACCTATAAACTTTTTTTATTTTTTTTAAACAACTGTCCAGTTCTTTTTGTGATCTGGTTTTCTTCTGCCATGAGTGCATACACTCAGTCCAAGCAAAGAAAGCCATAATTGTTAGCTTTTGAGTGATAGATTTTGTTTGCATGGAGATCTAAAAATCTCCCTCCCACTTATGTTCTAATAAATTACAGAACAAAGTGTCGATATCGGTCCTTATTCTGATCTTCATGCTAAATTTAATTTACATCTAATGAGGAAGTAATGCATGGTATTAAAGATAAAAAGTATATAAAGCCTGAGTCCTACATATCATCAGATACAAATGGACCCGTTAATATTTTTTGAAAACACTTCAACAGTTGAAAACCTATAAAAGACATTCCCTGAGATGTGAATGTGCCAAAAGTACAGCCACAAAAAACAAAAAAAAATGCCTCCTGGCAGAACTGCAAAGTGGGCTGCAGTTTGATTGGTGAAGAGGCAAAAGTTAAAACAAACTCTTTAACTTTTTGTTGAGCACCTGCTCATTATGCTTCTGCCTCGGTTTTTGTGAACGTCCCCTATATTTCCCTCTCCCTTGCAGATTTTCCACTTAATTCTGGCGTTTAAATCTTCCATTTCTGTCAATTTCATTGTCTTGCTTCTCCTTCAACTTTTTTGTCTTTTTGGTTTATTTTTTTCTTTTTTCTTCTCTCTGTCTCTCAGATCTCCAAGCTTTTAAAATTTCTCTCTGCTCTACTCTTGCTGGGTGAGCTACTGCATAAATCTTTGATATGCTTCTGCTTTTCTATTGCGCTGCTGATTTTGCAGCTGTTGGGATTTAGTATCTAGAAATGTAAGGTGCACATAAGAATGTGTAAGTACAGGCTGCACCTCCTTTAAACCAGGATTCTCTCGTCCAGCAACATCTGTGGTCCCGTTGCTAAATGAGAATGCCCTGGGACAGGAGGACCAGCAACTGAAAGCTCCAGACAAGGCAAGCCCAGTGGTAGTGGGGCTAGGCATCAGCAGCCTGGTGTCAGCAGTGGGGCTATTGTAGCAGGGCCGGGGCAGCCCGTGCATGCTGGCCTGGAAGCAGGGTTATGCTGAGGCAGCCCAGTCGGGGTTGTGTGCCAGCCTGGCAGTGGGGAAAGAGCCGCGGCAGCCTGGCTGGCAGTAAGGCTGGGCCGTGGGAACCCAGCAGGGGAAGCCCATGTGGGGCTGCAGCAACTCAGCTGGGACCACGGCAGGTCGGCAGCCCAATCGGGGCCATGTACCAGCTGGCAGGGGGGGAGGACTGCATGCTGTTGTGTCATCAGGGCTGAGGCAGCTGTGTCTCCCAGCCATCAGCGGGGCTGAAGGAGCCGGAGGCGGGGAGGGGTGGCAGGCTCAGGTGGCTGGTGGCAGGGGATCTTCCCTGGTCCGGCAAATTCCCTCATCCGGGATCACTCAGGTCCCGTGGGTGCTGGATCAGGGAGGTCCAACCTGTATTAAGGAAACCATCTCCTCTGGATAAATATATCATTACTTATCTTCTATGTTCCAGCTTCTGGAAAAAAGCATATGGCTGTAGTGCTTTCGGGCATCTGCAGGAAGCTTTGGAACCTTTTCTGATCAAGATCAATCAGATACAATGGTATCCTATGCAAAGATAATGGGGAGTTGTAGCTGGCACTCTGTTCAGTTTCTGAGAGAGGCTGCTTTAACCATTCAAAGGAGGAATAGTGGTGATTTGTTATAATTTTCTTCCATTCTGGTCACAGTCTTACCCACTTGTTCTGGTATGGGTTTTTCTCTCCTTGAGCTTGCATTGAAGGGAATGATTATGTGGGACCTTTGGAGACTATCCTCCTACAGATTTCTCTGCTCCCAAAGCAGCAAAAGGTGGGGCTGAGACCCCTCCCTACTCTTCAGAGCTATCTCTTGGGTATTGATATTTTTGTTTCTAACTCCAGCAATGTGGACTATCTAGAGACTTTAATCTGCACAGATATTTCTTGTTTCAAACTCTTTAGTTCTCTTTGCTCTTTATTCTCTTTGTGATACATCTGTATTCTTCTCCTCTTCCTACTTCTCACCATGGTGGACAAGCCTGACGAGAACAGTGCTGAGATCGGGAGGGGAGGGGAGGGGAGGAGGCTCTGTACCAGCTTCACTGCTCACTAGAATCCTCATATGAAGGCAAAACTTGGCTTCTGATCTGCTCTGTGTTGGAATACCCATGGACAGCATAAATGTTATGACGGAAGAGTTAGCAGAGGGAGAAGACAGTACTGACATGAGCCAATTCAGCACTGCCACTGACTTCAAAGGAATTGCACTGTGGATATCATCCATCCTCCTTTGCTTCTCAGGAGATCCGCACTGATTATCAGTTCATACTTTCTGAAAACATTAACCTGCATGTCCAACCTATGACACATGCCACCTATAGCAGAAAGATGCTTTGAGCAATGAGGACCATCTTTTCATAGATACTTGTGTTCTGGTGTCATTGCAAATTAAAGCTCCCTCCTGGGGGGAGGGGGAGGAGAGGCTTTGCCTTTGTAGGAACAGCAAGCTTGGCTGTGGTACATAAAAGAAAACTTTGCTACCAGATCCTCTTCTTTCTTTCAGTAGCCAGACCTCTTATTCCTACCCTCCCTTGCAGGAAAAGTGGAAGTTCAGTAACAGTGCATTCTGTGGAAGGATATTTCAGAAAAATGTAACACTTGACTAACACTTATTACTCTTTGTCTTGGTTGCAGTCCAACCTTGGAAAACAGGGGCGGCCCGAGGCGGGCTGCTGGCACCTGGCACCCCAGGCGGAATGTGCAATCAACGCCCCCACCTCTCCAACTCTCAATGGTGTGATGTCATCATTGGGCACCCCGTTTAACGGCATCCTAGGCAACGGCCAAGTCGGCCTATCCGCACGAGCCGCCCCTGTTGGAAACTGTAGAGGGAACGGATTTCTAGGGAGGGGATCATATGATGATTAACTCTAGGGAGTTAATCATATGGTGATGGACAAATAAGAACTTGCCTTCCCTGTAGCCCAAAGACAAGGAAATCCTGAGCCTGGAGCTAAAAAAAAATTTATCTCATGGTTTCCCTTTATTATGTATACACAGTCTCAGGACTGTTTCCCCAATATGGCACTCGGGGTATGTCTAGACTACATGTAAACTAGTTTACCCGGCATAGCCAACTGATCCCTTATGCCTCGTGAAATGAGGTTTACAGGATTGGTCGACAAAGGCTTCCCCAGCTGACAGATCCGCATCTAGATTTTTTAAATCCCGCTTCTTTGCCTATGCCGGGTAAACTAGTTTACATGGCTCCGTCGACAAAGCCATGTAGTCTGGACTTGCCCTCTGAGTGCAGAAGGTGAGTGCCTGCAAAAGAGCTTCAAAATCTTGCCTCTATAGGCACGGGCTACAAAAAACTTCCCCCCAGCATCATAATACAGTAAACTTCCGATAATCTGGCACCTTTAAGACCCAGGGGGTGCCGGATTATCAGATATGCCGGACTATCAGAAGGGGGGGCTATGAGGGGTCTGGAGTGGGGTGGGAGGGGATGCCACCCCAGACCCCTCATAGCCCCCCCTTACGATAGTCCGGCTCTGCCCCAGGCATCCCTGATTCAGCTGCTGCTGGTCAGTTTCAGCAGCAGATTAATTTTTAAATAAGATTTCTATAATCTCATTTTTCTAAAAAATAGCAATTTACAAAAATAAGATTAATTTAATTACAGAATTCACATAAACCCTCTACCCACCAAACTACAGGGTTAAACTAACATCCATGTTTGATGCATTACAATAGCCAAGAACTCATACAAATAATCCGTAAGACAAGGTCAGGGCCAATCTTTTATTCATATTCATTAGGAAGATTTCACCAATATTCATATGTTATTTTTCAATGTACAAAGTGGACACTGACACTTTAGGCTTTCATGATCATTCCTGCAGCACTTGCCACATACAGTAAACTTCCAATAATCTGGCACCTTTAGGACCCAGGGGGTGCCAGATTATCAAATATGCCGGACTATCGGAAGGGGGGGCTATGAGGGGTCTAGGATGGAGTGCGGGGATGCGCCCC